AAAAAAAAAAAAGATGCAAAATGTCACCATGCACCCCCACAAACCAAGTCAACCACCACCACACCGATGACCCTCCATTCAAAAATATGATCCAACACACCAACTACTCCCAAACAAGCGACCGACATGAGTGACCACCTGCAAACTGCGCTGTCACGCCGTTCAAATTTCTACCCGATGCCTCCCGCATCCCGGTATTCGGGATTTGGCCAGGGATATATCATATGCAGGACGTGTGCTTGTACGTGCAGGCGTCGAAGCGGCCGTGCGTTCGCAGCGAATAGTCCTGTTTCCTGTCCCTCTTTGCTTCCTTGTATACACGTACATACCTACATACATAATTAAATTACTAGGTTACGTACGATGTATCTTACCTGAGTTCCTTTGCTCTGGTTTGGGTATGGTATGGTATGTATGTATGTATATTGTGTAGGGTTAAGGTTGGGATTGCTTTCTTGCATGGTGGTGTGCTGAGTTGTGGGTGTCTGTGCGATGGTAGGTATCTGGGTAGCTAGGAGCTAGTAGCTAGTAGATACTTACTTGGGCTCACAGCCTCAGAGAGGCATGCTGGGTTGAGTGTTGCGTCATCGCCTGTGTGAGGTTGGTCGCTTTCTCTTCTGTTTCTTGGGGTGTTCTTTTCATGCTAGTCAGATATAGGGGGTCTGTGCGGTGTGCCTTACTCTCTTCTTCTCTGTCTTCCTTCTGTATGGTTCTACTTGCACCTGCTTTGGCGGTGGGCGAGGTGTATGTGCAGATACGTCCGGTTTGAGGTTGGGATCGGGCTCTGCTCTGTTTTCGGGCTCTGGTATATGTTGGTTGGGTAGGAGGTTGTTGTGTCTAGTGGGTACTGTGGGGTACTGAGTGAGGTGTTGGAGCGAGATAGAGGAATACATGTGCAGTTTGTAGAAAGTTGGCTGCCCTTGGAGCTGTGCTTAAAGATATTTTTTTCAAACGGCGTAGAATGAGCTTTATATGTAATTGTGTTCATGTTGTGATATCTGGTTGATGTTAGCACTAGGACTATAGTCGGTGGTTGTATACTTTAGCTCCTGCTACAAGATACTCATACGTGTCCGGTCTTGACTTACTCTTCAGGCTATGGAAGTCTCCGGAGGATGTTTGTCAGCTACTGAGAGCGTCCTATTCCTGTGACTATGGACCAAATAGTGACTATATCAGACTTTCGACACTACTCCGGTATATCTATACTACCTGTACATGCTACTATACTCCAGGGTAGGTGGCTGACCGACTGAGGCAATGGCAATGGTTTTAGTAGTCATATTTGAGATTAACAATTACGTACATGCATGCTCCTGAGTCAGTCTGAAATGACAGAAGAGACATACTCAATAATATGGAGACTTTTCTGCTACCGTCTTTCCGCTGTGCCTTTATCTCGCCGTCGAACTGACTAGCCCTAACGTTCGAATATGAGCCGAAATCTCCACGACTTCCTCGATACCAACAGTTGAACAGCCCTGATGACTGATATCCAGACGTGCCAAAAGATACCCCCCCCCCCCCCCAAAATCGAAACCCCACAATCAACGAAATCCAAGAGCAGGCTTCGTGTAAACTCGACCACCATGCTTAATCTCAATCTCACGAAGATCATGGCAAACCATCTGCCACAGCTGACATCGCACGTCGTCGAAAGTCGGCTCCCCGTTCTCAACATCCCAATGAAAGGTAGTCCCGTACTTCAGACGGTTTTTGAGCGCCCAAGCCCGCTGGCCAAGTCCACGCTCATCCAGACGCAGACCACTTTCAGCATTCATACGACCCCAACCCAGGGTCTCCGGGACAAGTTCATCGGCCATATCATTCTCACCCTCATCAGTAGTGATATATTCCTCGTCATCAATGACCGTCTCCATCTCGCTCTCAGGGTCAGCATCATAATCACACTCATGCTCGCTCTCACACTCATGCTCACTCAACTCCTCATCCTCACTATATTCATCCCCCACGCAGCCCCGGAACCCTCCCCTGCACTCACTCCCATCCCCAGTCTCGTACCCCTCGTCCACAACAGGATTGACCTTCTTGAGCTTGAACCGGTCATCGCCCCCAAGCTGGATAACCAGCAGACATTCCTCCAGGAACGTGGCCATCTTCGCCCACCCCCCGCGGTCCGGGATGCCATCGGGCATCATGGCCCAGAAGGTATACAGCGAGGCATAGTAAACGTAGCGCATATTGAGCGGATCGGATCAGGTTCGCAAAACCAAACTAAACGAAACTAAACTGCACGGTGATGTCGGATATCAGGTGGGGTTATTTATATGCATCAGCCGATGAATGAATGCCTATGGTAAGTCGGCTTCGTGCAGAGAAGGGGGACGTGGTGGATAAATGCTTTTTTTTGTTTTGGTTCTTTGTATGACGGTCCCGATTATCTCCATACAGCCAGAAAGAGCGTCCAAAATAAATTAGATAGATGGATGGATAGATGGATGGATAGATAGACCCTCCAAAGGATAGCTAGACAGGACGAGATTCGGTAAAGATGATATCTATATTGCCTTCGACTTTCGGGAACCGCATCTCGAGATGATATGATATAAACGCCCGCTACCGGCGTGGATGCATGCCTGTGCCGGGCTTGTGATTGTTTGCTGCTGAATTGAATTGTGGTGATTGTCCGGCCCGTTTCTTTGTGAGTCTCGGCGTGCGTGTGTGGTGAAGGATTTGGTTTTGTTGGCGCGGTAATGGGCGCTTTGTGGTTTGTTGTGTAGAATGGCATTGTGTGGGCTTTGTGAGGGGGTTCATGGGTTGGAACTGTGTTCTTTTTTATTCTATTCTTCTTTTTTTGTGCTGGTGTACTTACTCTATGGGGATGGGATGGGGGGTTGGATATAGGGTTGGTTGGACTATATATATATATAATCCTGGCCGGGGTTCTTGGGTTTGGGCTCGGGGTCTGAGGGATATACGGTTGGTTTAGTAGCGTAGAGACTATAAATACCCCGATACTATGTCTATGAAACCGCTTAGTATATATCTATAAATAGACTGACTGAAACTTGACTTATGACATCTCTACACCAGACATACTCTACCCGAGCATCAAAACCAAAGCAACCGCAGCAACATTCATATTGAATAGCCCGCTCAAATACTAATAACCAAAACGCGGCTTTAAATACCCTCGATATACAATAAATGACCCTCAGGCCAAGTCCTGCATGTCCAGTCCTGGAAAAACAAGACAAGTCTGGCTCTTCTCTTCCGTCGACCATGTAATCGAATGAGTGGATGGCGTCCGGGTTCTTCGTTGCTGGGCTTATCCCAGACGTTGGTTGATAATGACTTTGGATTTTATATATATAGGTCTTCGTTGTTATGTGAGACTGGGAGGTGAATGGTTTTGATTGTAGGTCTGTATCGTGGCTATATAGTAGGTTCGGCCCTAGGGCTTGTAGGGTTCAGTTATAGTTTACTTGATGTTTTGGTTAATCAACTAACATTATATCACTTGTTACAGCTTATTTATTGAACAGATTGATGTTTTTTTTGGATTATCTACAAAGAGTTATTAGGATTACTGCTCGGGTAAGAGAGCCCTGGTTCGTGGTTAGGGTTGATATGCGTCCTGGCTACTTAGGGTCAGTGTAGGGCACGCGGTGACCTTGGCTATCTAGTGTGCTACTTAGTAGGTTCTAGGACCCTCAAGAGATATCTCGCGGGTAATTGTGGTCTTTTGGTAAAAAGGGCTTTGTATCATCTGACCCCTAGAATAGGTGCCTAGGATGTGGAAAGACAGGGTACCGTCCGCTCTACGAGTTTACCAATGAAGGTTTCTGAATTTAGTAAGAAAAGTTCAGGTTTACACTAGTAGAGGCCGGTGGCAATGTGTGGAGTTTATGTAGGTATTGCCTTTGCCGTGTACATAGATCTTTGAGGTCTTCATATAGAATGTCTCGAGTTGTAATGAGGAAGTTTTAACCCAATAATATGTCCATGAGGTATTGCTACCAGATAATCTATGATGTAACAACCATAGTTTTGATAGTAAGAAAAAGCCCGGCTCAACCAGGTAACCAGAAATCCACCCGCTAATATCAACCAAACAAAGAATCACACAAATGTACGCAACCCAAAAGTCCGAATATACATCCCAAATGCATGCGGTAAACCAATATACCAGACCCAAATAATGTATAAACTGCCGAGTTCAATCCAGCTCGACTGTACTTCGAGAAAGATATATATGCCATCACCAGGTTTCCTAGTCTCATCGTTAGTCATATATCAACAGCAGAGAGATCGTTATCACTTACAGCAATGTACTGGCCAGCTTCCTTCTTGTTGTCCCAGAACAATTTGGCCTCCTCTTCGTTGAGGTTGCCCTTGGCCATAGCCACATCAACGAGAGCAGCCTCAACGCCCTCGCCCATGCCCTTGCCGCTACCGCAAACAAAGACACGTCCGTCCAGCGCGTTGATAACGTACCAGACCAGGTCGGCTTGATGACGGACCTCTTCCTGGACGTACTTGCTTTCACCGCGACGGCTCTGCACCACGGTTCGGACCTTCTCCTCATCGACGCCCCATTCGCCGCGATAGAGCTCGTCCAGCAGGGAATCACGCACACCTTGCAGAACCCACACCTTGTTGGCGCAGTTGGCCGACTGCAAACGGCGCTGGACGAAACCACGGAAGGGAGCAATGCCCACACCAGCACCAATCAGGAGCATGGGGCCGTCCGAATGGAACCGCTTAGCCAGTGGGTTGGCCATCAGGCCTCGGAACATGGGGACATAAAGGTTGAGAGTCGACGGGTCGATGCCCTGACGCTCTGCCTCGACCACTTGTCGTGCCAGCCGCTCAAGATATCCAGATCCTACACCGGTTCGCAATCCGCCCTTCCAGTCATTGGACTCTGCCACACTGACGGCAACTTCGACGAGACGGCGGGATTGGCCATCTTTTTGGGCGGAGGAGAGGAGGGGGTCCTGAGAAAGAGAGTAAAAGCGGGGCATCAGGGTGTTGAGAACGGAAAGAAGATGGTCCAAAGGTGGCTGAGAGGAGGGGAATGCGTGTAGGAGTTGAGACACGGAGACATGAGAGGCGGTACGGAGATCACAGAAGGCGCCTTGGCCCTGGGCGGAGGCGAGGAACATGAGAATCTTCTTTTCGTTTGGCTCGCTGGCGTATTCACCCAAAAGACGGAACAGTTCCTTCGAGGGTGAGTAACTCTGGATATCTGAGCACCAGTTCAGGAGCTCTCTGCGCGTTGTGATCAATTCACGGGCTTGGTCGTCACCCCAGATAGTGGGCCATCGGCCCGTGCTTGTGCGCACTATAATCTTCTTATCACGGATCGATTTGGGAACTCCAAGGCAGTTGAAGATATCGTCGACCTCCTCCTCTTTGTTCATCGGACATACGCCGATTGCACCGCCAACAACAAAGTCCACGTTGCCACTTTCCGCAGGGTAGTCGGTCACGTCGATGTCGAAGTGGTAGGTCCGTTTCTCCGCACCGGCCTTGGTGAGTTCTCGCGCGTGGTGCAGGGGAGCGCGGTATACATTGTACGGGGGGTGGGGTTGGACGAAGGGAGGGGGGTGATCCTTTGGTCCAAGTTGCATCTCCACAGCCGATGCAGGGATCGCTGCAAAGGATACCGTCTTTGCGGGAAGGTCAACAACATCGGTGAGCTCACTATCCACCGTAAGGAGATCGACGTTCAGCTTGAGAGCGTCATAGGCTTGATTCTGAGGTGGAGTCACAACGATGCCGGAGACAGGTCCGTCACCTCGGATCAGGGGCTGGCTACGGCAGCATCCACCGCCGCAACACAACGGCTGAATCTTCTGTGTGCCTGGAGCGCCAACATTTTGCAGGACTCGTTGCATATCGGCGGCATTCTGAGAGATAAGCACGGTCGAGGCTCGGCGTCGATGGCCGGTGCCATTTTCCTCTGACTTCTCGGTCAGGTCTTCAGCGTCCGACTGAGGCTCAGTAGGAACAGTCGACGGGGATCCCGAACTAGGAGTGCTATCGGTTTCCGCGGACGAAACATGGAAGCTCATATCCGTCACCGACAGTGACCTCACACCGCGAGGTTCTTCTGGCACCGGGTTATCCGGATGCGAGGTGGACGACACCGGAATGGCATGGTGATCGCCATTGGGAGTATATGAGGTCTTTGACACCGCCGTGGACCTCGGCGGTGGTGAAGGAACGGCATGTACTGTTATAGCAACCCAGGTCAGCTATATAGTCCGGAGAGTCAATTGGCGATAACTGCCAAAAGGTGAGCCACATACCCATTGTGTCGGTACGTAATTGATACAAGAACGGGTTGATCACTTGTCGAAACAAGGGTACTGGCCAGATCAATCGAGAGCCGGGAACCAGAGACGTGGTGATTGCTTTTCTGGGGACGGGTATGAATTTATAAAAAGGATTGTGCCGAAGAAAGGGGGACGACCAAGCCAAGCGATTGAGGAATGGTCTTAATTAGCAAAAGTGGAAACGACAATGGCCGTTTGACACCGGCAGGATCAGGAGAGCAAATCGGAAGAGTGGACGGGAACGAGTGGGATGAGGTGGGAATTTGTTGACTCCTCGTAGGCCTGGGGCACAAACCGGCACCGGGTGAATGGTTCCGCTATGTCAGCTGAGGGTCGATCATGCAGAGAAGTTCTTCTTCTCTTTTTCTGGGTGAAGAGGAACTTCTGTCAATCAATGCGCAATGTGGATGCGAAATGGGGTGAAAGGGAAAGAAATACTGTTGAGGGGGGCGCTATCACCAACTTGCAGGACACGCAAATCAGATAAGGAGTGAAATAAGAATGATGCGAAGGGGAAACAGCCGGAAGAGAGAAAAATGGGCACACACTCTCGCCACATCGATTTTCATTCGCGGTGAGGAAGCGTCATTACACTGATCGTACGCGGTGGTAACTTTTCGTTTACCCACTTTTCGCCTTCCGGACGACTGGCCCGGCATTTCGCCGTCCTCCTTCATCCTGCGCTTTCATGGCTTAATGGCTATCCGTTATACCTGCCAATGCCGCTGCTTACTATCTCTGTGGGATTATAGGAGGAGAGAGATCCCATCGTTCATGCTCTAGATGTCTGGGGAGCTGACAAGTGTTCGCCAGATCTGCAGCTAAGCGGAATCTTTTACTCTAGCGGGGAAATAGACGCAGTCAGATGATCGGGAAAGAGCGGTATAACCAGCCGTGTTGGAAATTACTTTCATTCTTTACTGGTTTGCATTGATTGGATTTTGGCCTTTCTCTTCGCTATCTTTTGTTCTCTTTCTATCTCTGCTGCGCTGTGATGAGCAATGGCGGTTCCTCTGTGACCATACGACCGAAGGTACCGGTCTGTAACGGAAGGGTAGCCGAATAGATTACCGATCTAATCTGATCCGGCTGCAACCCATCCCTGTTCGGCGGCCGCCCTCGGTTAAGCCGTCGTTCAAAGTGTCCTCCACCCGAGGCTGGATGCGTGACATTCATGATTCATGACTGAATGTCAAGGGGGTTTCATACCCCTTCTGACAATAATATCATGCTTATTATTGTTTGCTAATGGAAATCACGGGTGTCATATGCCTCAGTCACAGACTTTCCTCCATTCTTGGGTTGAGTTTTGTGGATGCACGTGATCCACAAAGTGATGGATCCGGATCAGATAAATTAGTGGATGGCGCCGTTCTTCTCCGAATCACCCCACGCCGGAAGCAGCCAGCACAACCTCCTGAGTTCTCAGGAGAATGTGCCCTGAGCCGTGAAACTAGATTCTCGGGGGGTGTCCTCCGTGCCCGTGCTCAATTCTCAATTCTCTAAGCTATGCTTCTAAGTCCCAGTTGCTCCTCTCCGTATTCGCAATCGCGTATTTCTCATGATTGTCATGTCCCGTATCAATCAAAGTGGGGCTTTCGCCGATGTCGGCGGCTGGATCATATCAATCAGATAGCGACTTAGTTTGGCTATGAAGCTATTTCTAGATTCCGGGGTTGCTGGCCGTTTCCGCCTATGGTATCGAGTACATAATAGACACACACACTTCTGCTGCAGGGACTCTCACTATTGCTGCTCTAGCTGGGCACGCATTGGTGCGCGGCTGCCAATCAGACTCCCCCAATGGCCAAACCATCCCTTGGGTGCGCCCGTTCATGCCCAACAAAATGGCGCCTCTGATCTCCTCCACTTGCTTCTTCAGGTTTCTGGAAGGTCAACGGATTTTCCAGACGTTGAATCTTTCGTCAGCGGTGGATCAAATTACGTTCATCTCTAGATGCGCGTCGCTATGCTGGTCTTATAAATAGATTCTAGGCCTGCCCCTTGTGGATGATGACCGTATGCAGATGTTGTGTTCAGTCGCATATCGAGATAACTCCCCTAATTTTATAGTGTGTGCGGGAAACTGTGCACAGTACCATGGATTATCGCAAGTTGCGAGCCCCTTCGATGCTCGCGTGTGATCTAGGTATCGACTGGGTAAGGAGGACGGCGCTGTTACGAGTCATCCTGAAGCGCCCGGGTTATCCCTGTTGCGGCTTATCTGATCCTACTAGCAGGACCGGCTGTCTGGGACAAGACAGGCTAAGCAAGGGTGGTTCGTTAGGCCCACAAAGAGCTCTCCACCATCAAATTTCTTCCAAAACTGGTGAAACGCCTCAGCCGATTTGCTGTCCACTCGGACCTGTTGAAAAATTTCTCCAGCCCCTTCTCATCATGGTCCAGCAAGATGACTGGAACTAAATAAGATAATGACCTGTATATTATGCCCTGTGGGAAGAGACTGGCGGATAGTGGTCTCCAGAACGAACACCCTTTAAGCTTCCCTAATTTTTCTCTAGTATCTCCGTTCATTTCCTTTCAAACTCGAATGATCGACGGTGCTACAAAGCAAAATCCTCAGCCGACGCCACCATGCGCAATGAATCCTGCATCCCAGCCGCTGACATCTGACGGGTATCCTACCTTCCTCTCAATCACATTGGCGATTCCTAACATAGAGCCCCTTACGATGCAAACAACAACACTGAAGATTTCCCACGACTGTTCCACTCCTAGAGCACATGTAAGATGGAAATCCGATCCCGTCTCACGCCCTTGCGGTCAGGCCGCAGAAGTTAAGCTGAGCCTTCGATTTCAATTCCCCATTGGTCACCACCGGGTTCGCAGCGGTTTCCGGACAATCCAAATAATACGCAGACCATACGGAGCGTTAACAGAATACGATCGCCGACTAGCATCCAGGCTAGTATTACGCCAAACAGCCTATGGCAGTTCTAGAACTCGCCCCAACTCCGACCTACACTAGTGTTCTTAGTGTTCTTTAGTGAAGCTGCAAGTGCTCCACGTAATTTGTTTCTTCAAGAGGGTTTCCTTGGCCTGACGAGACTCGGGTTCCGGACCCGCGCAGGCGACCTGCCAGTTTTGGCTCTTTTACTTTGGTCGAAAGAGCTACAAAAGTACTGTACCTTAGCCCGAGGGATCGTAGAGCTCGGTAGATATATACTCCGTCTTCTAGGGAGGCCATTCATCCTTGGCGATATTTCGAATATGACGGACCTGAGCGCGTCCTTGGCTGTTGCCACGACCTTGCCGTTCGACCTGTACGGAGGGCCCTCTGTAAGTTTTGGGTATTGCTCTTAGTATCCGTCCATATTGCTGCCCAGTGGGAATGCCTATGACGTCTAAATCGGCACTCGGTATTCGACGTGCGGCCGTGACTCTCGGTCGTTGCCGAGCCTCTCCATCCACCGAGCGTTCAGGCCGCAATCATCTACTCCGCGCGGGGTACAGCGTACAACCCCCGTTAAGCTTTAGGTACGAAGCGTGACGTGCTGAAGGCATTAACGCTTCTGTTCTGCGCTACTCCAGTCAGGTAACTCGCCGAAGTTTTGCCTAGACTTAGTTGACGTAAAATGTTCTCCAGGATCTCTCTTCTCCTGCCTGATTAGATTATACATGACATGACATATTGTTCCGAAAGGATAACCGTACAGGGTTTGGATTTCCGATGTACATAACATGATTATAGTTTGAACAGCTCGGATGTCTGCCGATGAGCCTTCCGATGGATTTCACCAACCCTAATATGTTCTATGCCTGACACTTGCCACTTTCATCGCACACGTCGGTCCCCACCTGTACCGCTTAGGGTCGGTGACTTTCACCCCGCATCACTTGACAGAAATGCGGAGTATGACAACTTGTTGCGGAGTAGACGATGCTGGACTGCCGATCTTACGCGCTGGGGGACAAAGAGGCAATTATTTCCTCAAGAGTTGGTATAGGCGAGGTGGGGTCGGACCCTTATGGGTATCGCCTCTAGTACAGGGTTTGATTTGCTCCGTCACAGTGGACTTTGGTATCCTAAACCGGTGTATTTTCAAATCCTAGACTGCTTTATACTCGGTTTTTGTTTACAGTTTGTTGCTCTTGTAGACTGGGTAGTGAGATATATATATCTATCTAAGCAGTCTCGGTGCTCTGAAGGAAATTTCACTTTGGTTATTATGACTGACAAATAGCAAAGTGACTTTTCTTTTCTGTGGTTATAAACGCTTCAAGAAGTTTGTTGTTCGAAGGTGATGGGGATAGATAAGAAGTTGAGGAGATAGAAGAGAAGGAAGAACAGAGAAGTGAGAGGTAGATAAGTGGTATGAAGCCTGCTCTCCCACTGTGGTCTAATCAAGTAGGTGTGTAGTGATGTACACCGCTAGGCCTTCAGTACTTTTACAATAACTTGGCAACCCGATAGCATTGATTGTTATGTACTTCCTGAAAGATCCTGTCCCATTTATCGAGGTTATATATAGTCAATGCTAGTCGTCGTTCTTGAGCATATCATTGTGTACACAACAGGTCGGCAGTAATACATAGGACATTTCTCTATATCTCTGTGTTAGTCTACGTTCTCTGCTGCTTATAGTACCCATAGCTAGACATATCAGTGACAATATAAAGTATTCATGTTTATATGCGGGACCTCACCTATATAAACAAGCACTGGTCGTCCTGGCTCCCCTCTGGCGTCAAAAGGTGTGTCCAGATCAACTAAGGCGCCCACCATTCCTGATATGGCGGACACACCAACTATTGAATTTGAGGATGAGTTATCGGCAACATACAAGTCCTCCTCGACTCGGCCCTCCCACATGCCCATGGCTTCACATCGTCCTCTTCCCTAATATACATCCTCCATCTCAACATTTCCCCCACGGATGTCCTCCATGGGGTCTTCCTCCCCCCTCGCCCCGCCTGTCGCTCTCTTAGGCATCCCCGTCCCCCTTAGGAGTGACGATAGTTTCGGGCTCATGGCCGTCTCTGCAAGCATGACTAGTCCCCAAATGCCTTGTACAAGTTCAAATCCACAACTTGGAGCTTCTAGCCATAG